CACACACACACACACACACGCGCGCGCGCGCACACACACGCACGCACACACACACACATACACACGCGCGCGCGCGCGCACACACACACACACACACACACACACACACACACATTTCATAATCATACCCTGCATCCGCGTCCTGTCCCATAATTCTCCCCTGCTCACACTACCGAAAACCGGCTCAGTTCTTTCCGTCCCTCCACCTCCTATATATGTATACATCTTATTATCGTTTGCTTATATCTCCATACCTATATCTTTCCCCTGCCACCTTAAGTCCGTCCATTCCTTTTCGCTTCCCTCTCCCCCTCCCCCTTGTCTGTTCTACTCCCCGTACCTTGTTTCCCTCCGCCTCCCTCATCCTCTCTCTCCCTTTCTGGCTCTCCTCCTTTCTCCGGTCCTCTCTCTTCTCCGTCTTACCTTCGCTCTCTCTCTCTCTCTCTCTCTCTCTCTCTCTCTCTCTCTCTCTCTCTCTCTCTCTCTCTCTCTCTCTCTCTTTCGACCCTCTCCAATGTATTCTCCCATTCACAACTTTTTTTTTTTTTTTTTCATTCACAACATTTTCTTCGACAACAACTGAGTGGGGAAACTCCAGGACGGGGGAACGAGGAGGAGAGGGCGACAAGAGAAGAGAACGGTATGGCAGGACGGCAGGCGAGGTCGTACTAACAAAAAAGAGGACTGGATTTCATGCCTGAATCTGAACGTGTTTGTCGACAGGTGCAGAAATCGCGATTCGACTGCTTTTCTGCATCTTCTGCCTGAAACACGTCCAGCTTGGGGCGCTCAATCCAATTCTCTTTGCGATTGGGACCTCGCCGCTGGAAGGAGAACATGAGGAGGAAACTAAGATGCAATCACTGACCCACTCCACCCCCTTCCCTGCCTCCAACCTATGTCAATATCACTCACCATCGCTCACTTAATCACTCCTCCCCCTCCGTGCATCCAACCTATGTCGCACCATTCCGCCTCTCTCAAGCCACTCGTCTCTCTCACTCCTCGTCCCTTCTTTTCGCCCCGCTCTTTATCCTTACCCCCCCCCCAAACCCACCCCACTCAACACCCCCTCTCGATGCGCATTCCTTAGTCTGCCTCCTTCGATATCCTTCTGCCTCCTTGGATATCCTTCTCCTCCCCTCGTACTCTTCGCCTCCTTCTTACCCACCGTGACCCGCTCCGTACGAAGAGAGGTGCGGCATAACGCGGATACAAACGTGGGGAGCGGAAGAAGACGGGTGCAGTCATTGACCAGAGAAAGGCCTCCACGTCATCTCTCGATTTACGCGTGTCCTCCTTCAGTAGGGGCCATGCTAATTAACCTTCTCTGCAGCGTTCCAATTTTAACGACTATCATCTCAGAGATAAGACGCTACACGGTATGATCTCGAAATTCAAAACAAAAGAAAAAAAGAAAAAAAAAAAGACCCGCCCATCCCCTTTTCCCTCATTTGACATTCTTCTCTTTCTCTCCTCCACATCGCCTCACACGCCGCCCAGCCGTCTTCCCCCAAATCGAATTGTCGTTCTGCTTCCTCTAATCTCCTTCAATGGTCCCCAATCAAGATCCTGCCCACTCTGGCGACCAACCTAATCAAGCGACCAAGCTAATCAATCAAGGCCTAATCAATCAAAATACTTGATTGATTAGCTTGGTCGCCTTAAGAATGGCATTGTGCTGTTTCCACAACAACGTCTTCCCCCGAATAGAATGCCCCTGAAATTGGCCCATTGATTGTCAAAATGTATCAGCTGGTGCGCTCTCTAGAGATCAGTCAAGAGCTCTGACGCCCTTTGTGTTCTGTTCAGGGGGAAATTACAGCACTTTCAAAAAAAAAAAAAAAAAAAAAAAGAGCACTCCTTACTGTGTATTCTCCTGTTCCGCTGTTCCGGTTTGCGCAGTTCTAACGAGTGACCGTCATCTATTCGGGGGGCGAAAACAAAAGGGTGAAAAAAAGAAAAGAAAAAAAAAGAGTGACCTGTTCGCCATATGATAGGCAGGAGAAGAAAGAAAAAGGAAGAAAGAGGGGGGGCGAAAACAAAAGAGTGAAAAAAAGAAAAGAAAAGAAAAAGAGTGACCGTCATCTATACAAAAAACAATTTTTTTCGAAAAAAGGAGGAGAAGACGAGGAGAGGCCTCTCCCAATTACTTCCTGTTTGCGCAGTCCCGACCAAGCCGGGTGGGTCGCCGTGTGATTGGTAGAAGAAGAACGAAGAAAGGAGAGAGAATGACCGTCGTCCGTACAGACAAGACGCAAAAGAAAGGAGAGTAGCGGAGAGGGGGGATCGCCCGTAATTTGCCTACCTGGAGGCTCGAAGCGTGTACCCCGCTTGTTGGTTCCGGGCAGGAATTGTCCCCTCCTCACTCTCCCCCCTTCGTCAGCGTTTGTGCACCCCCGTGGTGTTCAAGGAAGTCGAAGGAAAGAACTGTCTCCCTTTCTCTCTCGCCTCTCTCAACATGTCTGTCGGCCTTCTGCTCTCTCCCCTCTCTCACCATCTCCATGAGATGCTCCGCGCCACAACTTACCTTTTCTGCCTCGACTACGGTAAGTGCTGAGGAGTAGTACGCAACGTTTTACCGGCCGGAAAAACAGCGCTCCAAAAAGGCCTAGTTGCACTACTCGCCATCCTCCAAGATTTCGAACGCATCTGGACGACCGCGATGTCCACATGCAATCAAAATGTTGGCGGATGGCGAGTAGAAAAACGAGGCCCAAAGACGGCACGCAAGGAAAAGGAAGACAAAAATTGATGAACGGTGGAGGATTAGGGCGTCATTAGTTTGCCCTATGATCATCATAGGGCTGACCGGGACCGACCGGGCCCAAGTACTTCACCCTTACTTCAGTCATCTCATTCCACAACCAGGATTCGAGCTCAGGTGTGGCTATCAGTAGTTCACGACCGGCGGGTGTAGCATTCAGTCACACGGGTTTGTGAAATTGCGTTTCCGAAGTCAAAAGACTTCTTTTTTTTTTTTTTTTTTTTACAAAAAAGACTGTGCTCCTTGTATTTCATGAAGAAAACCAAGGGAGGCCGGGGACCAAGTCCCACTTGCAGCGGTTTAGTTCCCGTAGCCAGTACTGCACGACACTGTGTGACTTCGTGTGGCAATGTGCGGCTGGTTGACAAACGGCGGGTTAAATCGCGAAAAATAACAGGATTTGAACGTGCTGAATGACAGTAATGATGAAAGGCCGGTCAGTCTGGTAACCAAGGGTATGGCAGCGGCATTGTCGGGAAAAACTTTTAGTTTCTGTGGAAATACAAGACGATG